CAGCCGATTTTCTCCTCTTTTCCGATGAGCAGCTCGCAATACGATGCCTCCACATGGGTTCCGCCAGTGTTTGATTGGTCCTCCCCAATTACTACCAGTGCTGTGACTGGTTCGAACTCAGCCACACGTTCGATTCCGACATCATCTTCCTCCAGGCTGTTATTTGGCGGTCCAACGTTTTCTGGAGTGCAAGGATTGGCGCCGTCACCTACGGTTGCACCGATAGGCCGACAGGCAGCACCTCGAATCAGTTCTTTGGAGGCAATTGCTCAAGCTATGGGTTTCTCGGCTCCCAATATTACGAATATCGTTACCACCAAGCTTGATACAGTTGAAGATTATCTGCCCTGGCGCACACAATTTGAATCCTTTTTGGTCTCTCATGGTCTTATGGGCATTCTTGATGGTACTATTCCTGCTCCTCCTCAATATATTTTTGATGCTAATCGTATTGAAGTTATGAACAATGAGTATTATTACTGGTTAAAGCTTGATCAAACAGTTCGTTCTTGGCTGTTTGCTACTTTATCCCGTGATATACTTATTGAAGTTCATACACTTCAAACGTCAGCTACCATCTGGGACCAACTAGAATCCAGGTTTATGGCTGCAAGCATGGCTCGTTCCATGGAGTTAAAACGCATGTTCAATAATATTAAAAAGAAAGAAAATCAAACTATGGAGCAATACATGCGTGAAATTCAGAAAATTACTGAAGCTCTTGCCACGATTAATTCTCCGGTGTCTCTGAAAGATATTATTGAGCAAACACTGCTTGGTCTTGGTCCCGATTATGAGACTATAATCACCACCTTAACCTCTATCCCGGAGGGCCTTACATTTGATAAGCTTAGGAGGCGGCTTGTGGAACAAGAACAACGTCTTCTTTATTTGCGCTCCCAGGAAGCTTCATCCCCGGCTGCGTTTGTTGCTCAACCAGCTGCTCCGGCAGGGCCCGGTCATGAACCGCGTGGTGGTTATCAAAATCATAGGGGCAGAGGACGTCGTGGCCAGCGTGGGAGAGGCTCCCGCGGCCGAGGCAGAGGGCACGGCCAGCAGAATCCACCGGCGTATGGTGCTCCTGGGTACGGTCCGCAGCCTGCCTATTATCAGTCCAGGCCCGGCCAGCAGCCTCAAGGAGGGTATTTTCAGCCACCTGCTTATTCTCCAGCAGCTCCTTCTCATGGACGACCGGGTTCAGTTTTATGTAATACAGTCTTTTCATCGTTTAATACGCATCCCTATTTTATTACTCGTACTAATCATGGCTATGCAGGCTCTCCTTTAGTTGATGGACACTTTGGTTCTGTTTCCCCGCCAGTTGTTTGTCAAATTTGCTATTCACCAGGTCATTCTGCTGCTTTGTGTCCTTCTCGTTTTTCCCAGCCATCTGCTCCTGCTCTTGCTGCTCCCATGGGTGAGCCTAATGATGCAGTCTGGTTTCCAGACTCCGGTGCGTCAGCACACATGACTCCTCAGGAAGGTACATTAGTTAATAAATCTATTTATTCCGGACCACTAACTGTTACTGTTGCCAATGGCACCACTCTACCCATTAAAAATATTGGTGATATTTCCATTAATTCCTTGGCACGCCCTCTTCAGTTAAAATCAGTTTATCATGTTCCTCATATTAAATATAATTTATTATCCATTCAAAAGCTATGTGCTGATAATAATTGCATGGTGATTTTTGATAAAAATTCCGTTTTTCTCAAGGACAAAACCACGGGGGCAACTCTTCTTCAGGCTTCCAGTAGCGGATCTGGTCTCTATCCCATTCGTCTGTCTCCTTCCTCACCTTTGGCTTTGTTTTCAAACGCGGCGCCTGGACCACTTTGGCATCGTCGTTTGGGACACTGTGGCAGTAGAGTTTTAGATGGTCTTAAGCAGTCGGGTCAACTATGTAGTTTGTCTTCTTTTAATCATGATTGTTCGTCCTGTCGTTTGGGTAAATCCCAGAGATTACCATTTCAAGATGTTTTTCATAATGCTAGTAAACCTTTATTTTTAATACATTCTGATGTTTGGCAGTCACCGATTTTATCTTCCTCTGGCTTTAAGTATTATGTTTCATTTATTGATGATTTTTCTCGTTTTACTTGGATATATCCCATGCGTCGTAAAAGTGAAGTCTTTACTCATTTTAAATCTTTCAAGAGTCTGGTGGAAAATTTATTGGATCATAAAATTAAAATTTTTCAAAGTGATGGAGGGGGTGAGTTTGATAATTTAAGTATGCGCTCATTTTTTACTAGTAATGGAATTCTTTTTAGAAAATCTTGTCCTGACACTCCTCAACAGAATGGTTTAGCTGAACGTAAACATCGTCATTTACTTGAGTTAGCGCGAACCATGCTAATTGATGCTAATCTGCCCGCCACTTTTTGGGTTGCAGCTATTTTGACCGCTGCTTATATTATTAATCGCTTACCCTCCACAAAATTTACTGGTTTTTCTCCATATCAAAAATTATTTCACCAGTCTCCTGACTTCTCTTTTATGCGTGTTTTTGGGTGTGCGTGCTATCCTAATTTTACTGCCACTTCAGCCAATAAACTCTCTCCTCATTCTGTTCAGTGTGTTTTTCTAGGATATGCTAATGAGTATAAGGGGTATCGTTGTCTTGATCCTCGGACTGGAAAAATTTATATTAGTCGTCATGTCCGGTTTCATGAAAATATTTTTCCTTACTCCAACTTAGTCACTTCTCAGTCTTCAGCGTCCGGTTCTCTTCCGTCCTGTTCACTCTCTTTATTTCGTCCTTCCACACCAGTGCCGCCTGCTACTGCTACGTCATTGCCCCCGGAGGATTTTCATTCGGACACATGTGCATCTCCACCATCGGTGGACCTCGTACCAGCCATGGATACTGCTGTTCAGCAGGCCAGCACGTCGGCTACTCCGCGGCAGCAGCCTACTTCGTCCGCCACCTCTGCGCCTGACCTTCGGTCTGGAAGTGTGACCCCGGTGGTGGCGGTGTCGGGCAGTTCTGCCGGGCTGGGCTCCTCGTCTCGGATCAGCACCGAGGGTGGTAATGTACACGACTCCGAAACTGCTATCATTCAAAATCATCATCCCATGCAAACACGGTCTAAGTCAGGAATTTTTAAACCAAAAACAATTTTTAATTTAAATACTGCGGTTTTAATTCCTGACCCGACTTGCTTTTCTATGGCTAATAAAAATCTTAAATGGAGAGCTGCAATGGCTGAGGAATTTAATGCCCTTATTGCTAATAACACATGGGAATTAGTGCCGTTTACCTCCGGTAAAAATGTGGTTGGGTCTAAATGGGTTTATAAAACTAAATATCGTTCTGATGGTTCTGTTGAACGACATAAAGCACGTCTGGTTGCCCAAGGTTTTAAGCAGCAAGCTGGGGTTGATTTCTCTGAAACCTTTAGTCCTGTTGTCAAACCCACCACTGTTCGTATTGTCTTAACTTTAGCTATTTCCTATAATTGGCCTATTCGTCAGTTGGATGTTAAAAATGCTTTTCTTCATGGTAATCTCACTGAAGAGGTTTATATGCGTCAACCTCCTGGCTTCATTCATCCTCAGTTTCCTAATCATATTTGTCGTCTGCGCAAGGCAATTTATGGTCTCAAACAAGCTCCCCGTGCTTGGTTTCATCGGTTCAGTAGTTTTCTATTGACTCATGGGTTTGTGTGTAGTCGTGCTGATAATTCTTTGTTCATATTTCGTCAGGCTACTCGACTCATATATTTGTTATTGTATGTGGATGATATTATTATTACTGGAAATTCTTCTACTCTTATTAGTAATTTTATTTCTCTTTTAGGGAAATATTTTGCTATGAAAGATTTAGGGGATCTTCATTTTTTCTTGGGGGTTCAGGCTGTGCGAAATTCTTCTGGTTTATTTTTATCTCAGGCCAAATATGTGTCAGATCTTCTCACCCGTTTTCATCTTCATACTCTTAAGTCGGTTCGCACGCCATTACCTAGCAGAACTAAGTTTTCTCTCACTGATGGTGAGTTACTTGCTGATGCCACCGAGTATCGTAGTATGGTAGGTGCATTGCAGTATTTGACTATGACTAGACCTGATATTACATATGCTGTTCACTTGGTTTCTCAGTTTATGCATGCTCCTCGTACTTCACATATGTTGGCTGTTAAGAGAATTTTTAGGTATCTTCAAGGCACGATTACTCACGGTTTACATCTACAGAAGTCCGCTCATCCGCACTCTGTTACAGCATATTCTGATGCTGATTGGGCTGGTTGTCCTGATAGTAGTCGTTCCACATCTGGATTTGCTGTTTTTCTTGGTCCAAATTTAATCTCTTGGAAGTCCAAGAAACAACCCACTGTTTCAAGATCCTCTACAGAAGCTGAATACAGAGCCATTGCGTACACAGTCCAGGATACATTACACATTCGTTCTATTTTATTCGAGCTTGGCTTTCCTATTCATCGACCGGTTCGTCTGTTATGTGATAATGTCTCTGCTTCATATTTATCTGCGAATCCAATCCAGCATGCTCGTAGCAAGCACATTGATATTGATTATCATTTTGTTCGAGAACGTGTGGCTCATGGTGATCTCGTCGTACAGTATGTTCCTACGAAGTTCCAGCTAGCTGATATTTTCACCAAGAGTTTGGCTTCTCAGCAGTTCTTGTTTTTACGTGACAATCTACGCATAGTTCCTCCTGCATAGATTGAGGGGGTGTAATAGTGTAGAATCAATTATTAGTTAGTTTCCTAATTGTATTTGGCAACTTACTCATTATAAATATACTCTCAGGGCTACCAGTCTGGTTAAGCCTGTTTATTACTTTCACACTATTACTCCATCACGAGTCCCTCACTCCCTTAGTCGAGTAGTAAACTCGGTTAAGAGGGAGTAGTCCAAGTCAGCTGCTCTTCTTTGAGACTGGAAGATCCCTGCCCTTGTCCAAGTCAGCACGAAAGATGAACCAAAAAGTGCAAATACGAGATTACGTGACAAAACAGCCTGTAATGGCCTGCAAATCGGGCTAAATATTTGTGAATCCAAACGGAAGTGCGGAATGTAAATAAATAAGCAAACAAATGAAGAACAACAAGGAGAAGGAGTCACAATCTACGATCTAGGGATCAAGCAGGTTATCGGGAACACTATCTAGGACGGTCACAAAATTAAAGGCGTGTGTTGAGCCCTCCAGGTCATCTGGAATATCCAAGTGCAAAAGGGACAAATCATTCGCTTACTCGTCGGCCCTATCAGGATCTGGCATGATTTTGAGCAAACCAAATTTCTCGGGATCGAAGTCTGGATAAAACTATGCCAGTCTATCGTATAACGTGGTCTGCATGTCGTATCGGCCACACCTGAAGGACATGAGAATTTCCTTATCCCGCCAAAGCTGACCCTCCTCAGTTTTCAACCATGCTTGGACTTGCTCCGAGCGATGAGCCTCCAGCCTCGAAGTGATGATCTCTGAAAATTCCGGGGAAGTTTGGAATGCCGCAACTGCCTGACGCCCCGCATCCGTGAACGACGCCTCCAGTCGATCATACTTTGATTGTAGCAAGTCATATTTTGACTGGAGGTCGGACAGAGCAGCTGCTGCTTCGTCCGCCCGACGTTGAACGGCAACAGAGTGACGGTGAGCCTCGTCAACCTGGTGCTGGAGCTCCTCGCGATGGCAACCTATTGCTTGAAGCGCGGTGGCTATGTCCATCAGCCCCTGTAGGAAACATGGAATCAGTGAGGATTATAATGAAAATAATAATAAAAAAAGAGTGAAACATCAAATCACGACCTACCGCGTTGTGAGATTTGATAGAGCGCGCCATATCCAAAATCGATGAAACACTGAGGGTAGGAGCTGGATGGTTAACAAGAGGAGCCTTGCATTGTTTCCCCGCGATGAGCGGAATGGCCTCGGGGACTGTGCTTCCTTCCCACGTTACACCCAAAATCGTTGGAACACTAAGGGTGGGAGCTAAATGGTTGACGGGAGGGGCCCCGCTTTGTTTCCCCGCGATGAAGGGAATGACCTCGGTCTTTGAAGGCCGGAACTTGGCGTCCTCCTCTGCGGCTAGAGCGGCGAGCCTGCCCCGCATACCTGCAACCTCTGCAAGAAAATAAACAGAGTAAAATGGACTAGTACCGGTTGAACTATTTCTCCGCTCCCGAATCAAAGAGGAGGATTCACACCTTTCTTCTTCTTGCCAACTTGTTCTCCGTGACGTGGGGAAACCCCGCTCTTCACCCCGACGTCTACCTCGGGCACGGTGGCGTCAGACACGCCCTTACTTGCACCGGGTATCACGGACTGGGGGCGACACCCTGCACCGCAACTAAGGGAGGGGGCATGTTAGGCCTGCTTAACATACCTGCAAGAAAATAAACAAGAGGGTGGTGAAGTCATTTCAACCGGGTTTTTCTCCTGTTGAATTAAAAGGAAGTTCGCACCTTTTCCGTCCATGGCAACCTGCTCTTCACGGAACGGGGTGGCCCCGCGCTTATCCCCGGGATCGAGCGAACATGAATCTGCACCAGGCGCAGAAGGTGGGAGCATGGTCCCCGATGACACCTTGGGGGCGGCGGCTTCGTCTCTGTTTCCTGCCACATCTGAGACTATTAGCAAATTAAGGGATGATTTTATATGGTATCTGTGACCTGTTGGGACAGAAGATTTACCTATATACGAGTTAATCGGGAAAGGCCCCCCTTGGAGCAAGGTCTCGACCTTCTCCTCAAGGTCGGGGGTGAGAGATATAGGCTTATACTCGCGCATTGAAATACCCCAGGTGGATGTGACGGGGAGCGAGCGGGGAGCGGACGCCCATACCCATTTATTCGACCACTTCCTAGGTGACTCTGGATACTAATCAACGATCTTATGGTGCGGTGATTGGCAAAGTGACACGAACCCACCGTCATCTGTCTTATTATTAGGGCGGTTCCACCTAAAGCATGCACAGAACAACGGTATGGATGGCCGGATACCAACCCCATTACAGCGAGCGACAAAAGAAGCCGTAAACATATGTGTGGTTGGGGTCATCTGCCACGGCGATATCCCAATATGGGCAAGAAGTGCCACCAAGAATGGACACAAAGGCACCCGCATGCCCTGCACGATGGACGTAATGTGAACCCCAAAGAACAATTTCGGAGGGGGGCTAGTGAGGCTACTCTCGCGATCTGGGAACACGAGGGTGCAATCGCTACCGACCAAACTTTCCGCCAACTTCAGATCTACTTCCGTACTGGTGGAATGCAAACGTTCCCTCCAAGCGTTAGGATCTTCGACGCTATCAGATTCGCCATCTGACTTGGATGAGCTATCCGACTGAGAGGCAACATCCACTACAGGGGTAGCGTTGTTGGAGGATAGCATGGGCTTGTCATGTGGCCCCTTTGGAGCAGGCCGGAGATGTCCTTTAACGATCATGATCCGCGTAGCAGGTCTGTCCAACCGCGATGAGGTGGTGACCTTTTCATGTGTCGTAAGATTTTCAGAGGCTCCTTGATTTTTCCCTGATGCCGAAAATTCGGGTTGAGACATTACATTCACCTCGCTGGCTTGAGTTTGTTTAATCGAGTCTCCATGCATGTACCTTTTTGCCACCTTGTCGGATCGGGATCGTACGGCCAAGCCGCTTGGTGATGACCGAATGTTCACATCGCTGGTTTGGGTTTGCACGGCCACGCATCCAGGTGACGACCGTACGGCCGTCTCGCCACGACGGGCTCGTGCAACCAAGTTTCAAGGCCGTGACATTGCGTCCACCTCGCCAGGTGGGGCTCGCGCAGACGATACCTGACCCGCAAGATGTTGCTGGGAATGTTTGGCAGACAGACGACGTTCGCGGGTGGAGAGGGCACCATGATGAGCTTCGTATCACGGACTGCGTTGAGAACCCGTGCGTAGGCTTGGAACAGGAGCTTCGCTTCAGACTTGTCTCTGTCTCAGCACGAGTTTTCCACCTCTTGAAAGCATCAAATGCATCAGATTTATTTTTGAGAAAATAAAATCATACCTTTCTTGTGGCGTCATCAATGAAGGTCATGTAGTAGGCGGATCCTCCCAAGGATGTAACTTCTGCAGGTCCCCAAAGGTCGGTGTGAACTAGTTCCAGCTTCTCCGGTTTGCCTTCCCTTTGAGAAACTGACACGTTTATGTTTCCCGAATATGCAGCCCTCGCATGAGCCAACCTCAACAGTCTTCAGGCCGGGCAGTTTGCCCTTCGAGCACAGCTCCTTCATCCCCTTTTCGCTCATGTGACCGAGTCGATAGTGCCACAAATTTACATCGTTTGTTGCATCGGCAGCAACATCGATGCAGTCCTTCGAGTTCGTTGTCATGTACAACGTACCCTCCTTCTTCCTCTTAGCAACCAACAAGGCTCCCTTGGTGATCTTCCAATTTTTGCTGCCGAATGTAACTGCATAACTTTCCTCATCCAGCTGCCCAATTGAAAGAAGATTCCTCCTCAAACCAGGAATGTGTCGGACGCCATTCAGTTTCAGCATGCATCCGTTCGGAGTCTTCACGTGGACTGTCCCCTTCCCGACAATTTTAAGAGGCTCTTCATCAGCAATATACACCTCTCCAAAATTGTCGGAAGTACACTGTTCCATCACTTCAGAATTACCACATGAATGGAACGAGGCTCCAGAATTCAAAACCCATGACTCCAACGGACTGCTCACGCTCAGGATCAGGAGATCATCGCCAGATGATTCTGCCGCTGCATTGGCATATGTCTTCTCCTTCTGATCCTTGATCTGCTCCTTGCACGGGCTCTTGAAGTGTCCGTACTCCTCGCAGTTCCAGCACTTGATCTGACTTCTGTCCTTCTTGCCCTTGGTATTTGACTTGGATTTGGATCTTGATCTATCCCGATTTGACTTGGACTTCGACTTCGTTCTGCCCCGGTTCTCTGTACTCAATGCCAATCCAGAAGCCACGCCTGATTCCTTCCTGCGGATTTCTTCGCTGACCATCAGATTTCTTACTTCATCGAATTTCAGTTTCTCTTTCCCTGCCAAAACACTGACTGCAGTCACCGTTCCGTTCCAGCTTTCTAGGAGAGAAGACAGCAGAATAATGGCATGAATTTCGTCGTCGAATTTTATCTTAACCGCGCTCAACTGTGTGGTGATCACATTGAACTCGCTGAGATGATCTACCACTCCCGTACCTTCTGACATCTTCAGGTTAAAATGACGACTCATCAGATGAACTTTGTTCACAGTGGAAGGTATCTCGTACATATCCGACAAAATTTGCAACATCTCCTTCGTCGTTTTTGCTTTGACGGTGTGTAGGGCGATGTTTCTGGACAGTGATAATCGCACCACGCTCATCGCTTTTCTGTCCAGCAACTTCCAATCGCCCTCCTTCATGTCTTCGAGCTTATCATCCAGAGGTTGATACAGATCTCAACCGTACAGGTAATCTTCGATCTGCAACTTCCAGAATCCGTAATCCGTTCCGTCAAACTGCATCACCGGTGTCTTCGAATTGTCTGCCATCGTGAGATCTTCCTTCGAACTCAGGGCTCTGATACCAATTGTTAGGAATTAAACTCACGCACGCGATGAATAATAAGAAGAACACACGAAAATTTGGTAACCCAGTTCGCCACGAATGACTACGTCTGGGGGCGCTGCGCTACCAAGCCAGGAATATTATTGCTATTTTCGGATCCACACACAATGATTACAAGGGAGAGAGCTTGTATTTATAGAGAAGTAAATCCTAACCCAAGGCAACTACGATGCGTTTCCTAAAATAAATTAAGAAACGTGTTTCCAAAAATAAATTAAGAAATGGTCTCTAACACCTTACAATCCCACGGTATAATTTGTATATGGGGGATCGGAGTTTTTTTTTTTGTTTTTTTGTTTTTATTCTTTTGAAAGTTTTTTGTTTCAAATAAATACATTCTTTTTTTATGCGACTGTTCTATAACCAGAGTAAACATCTTGTCTGTATAAAGATTGTTTTTATGCAGTAATGAATGGTCTAATGGACAATAACAACGAATGATATTTGCTATTTTTATTGTTCCATTTGCTGCTCGTAAACATCGTGCGCCTCAAATAAACCAAAACAATCACAACAAATAAGGATTGTTCTACTAGTGATACTAAGCATTTAGCTTCAAAAATTCAAAAACATTTAAAGGCCCTTTGGAATCACTGTTTTTCGATTTATCAAGCTTATCAGTTAATTTTTTTACCAAACACATAACTTTTGCTTTCGCGCGCTGAGTTGTGTAATAAGCAGAAAAAGTAAGGTTGAAGTTACTTTTCTGGCAGTATTGACTGAAGTTATTGTAGATGATCATTTTAGCTATTTTTACATATAATTTTTTCTTTATATTATTAATAAAATATATTTTAAAAGTAGTTTTTTCTTAAATCAGCCAATGCAGCCATTTCAGCCAGAACTTTATAAATTTCAGCTGAATCAACCAAATCAGCCGATTTTCGTGCTATCAAACGAGCTCTTAACATTACTTTATAAAGTGCATGATGATATAAAATTATTTTATTCATTACTATAATCACTACTATTTGCACCTCTGATAGACAATTTATAAGTCCTCGCAAGTGCACAAGTCGCGGTAGTAAAGTGCTCAAGTAAGGGTCGAATCCACAGGAAAATGCAACTAAATAATTGGAAAACTATTAATTAATAAAAATAAAAGTGAAATTAATCTAACAAAAAAAATGAATTTTGAATTTGTTTAATTTGAAACTGAAAAGTAAAGCTTGAATTAAAATGGATGCAAGGAATTTAAATGAATGAAAATAAAGTAATTAAACAACTAACGAAAATTGGTTGAGAATTTAGCAAGAGAAAAGATAGTCCAGGATTATGAATCAGTCACTACTTTTTAGTATTTGTGATTTAGTTAGTCAATTAAAATTGAGGGGTTCGTTCTAGACAGAAATATGACTATTCCATATGACGTCCAGAATAAGTCACGTACTTTAACTATTAATCAACAGGAAATTATTAATTCAATAGTTAAAATCCATTTATCACAAAAGAACTACGGAAACCCGATTTAACAACCAAATAGATAACTTAACAAGACAGTCAAATTATCTATTCTTTTATCCAAAAGAGCTCGGAATAATAGGCATGACATGTCCTCTGTTAATCCACTCAAACAACTTAATCAATCATGCTAAAATTGGCCAGAAGTTAACACAACAAATTAAGTGAATAAGAACAATGGATAAAACTCAACCAATTGACATAACTAAAATCACAATTTTATACTAAATCATAGCAATTTTATCATACTCCTGGACTAAGAAATTTAGCTACTCATAGAAAAATAAACTAAGACAATAAGAGTATAGCAATTTATTCCAATCATCTAAAAAAAATACCGAATAGCTGTAAGCATTTAAAGTTGTAAGAAGCAAATTTCAGAACTTAAACTAGTGTATACGGAGAATTTAAATAGAAACTTGAAACCAGAATCGGTGCTGCCTTAGAGAAATCAGGAATTCAGCAAACTTCTTTCGGTCCCAACCAGTTTGGTGGAGATCATATGCTGAACAGCAACACTAAACCTCCAACCTTCCTCCTTCTGGCTGCTATGAGCGATTCAGCAGCCCCGACTTCCGGCTTCAGCTCTCCCTCCTGGCCGCCAGAATCCGCCCGTCACTGCCGAATAGATGGAGCCGCCCGAAAAAGAATAGAGCCCGACCCCTAAACCCTCTCCGTTTTCTTTCCTTGGGCTTTTCTTTTCCTTGCTGGATTTTTGGGTTGTTGGTGCCGTACAAGTCAAGAGGAGCAATTCTCCTTTGTTGGGCCTCAAATCTTTTGCTAGACTCTTTTTTTTCTTCTAAAAAGTGGCTGCATTGCATCTGATGTGACATAGGAGAGAGATAGAGATAGAATAAATATTGGGATGAAGTGGTGTGTAGGGAAAAATGAAAAAGATGAGAGAGATAGAGGTAAAAATGGACCAAGATCTATGACAAGGTCCATATATGGACCTTACACGGGATTCGAGAAGGAAAAATTGATGAAAAGTGGGTTAAAAGTAATATAAAAAAATGAAAATGAAAATAAATTGGGAAATATGTGGGTCCTACACATAAAATTTGTGAGATAAAAAATGGGACCCATGTGTAAGGGTGTGTAAGAGACCACACCCTTGCATTGGAGATGCTCTTAGAGGAGTAATCCTCTTTTTCATTTTGTTGTTTGCTGAGCAGTCCTTCAAAACAAAAAGTATTTGGCTCACTTCTTTTAATTTTCCAACAACCCTTGGAAAATGGAAAATCTCCACAATTCAGTCCAAAAGTCCTCAAATCCTTCAATTAAAGTTCCCACCTGTAAAAATCATTTTTACAGAAAATATAACTCTCAACCTCTCAATTAGGCAAATAATAAGCATAGAATTGTGATAAAATAATACAAAAACGAAGTACAAATTCTAGCTCATCAACCTCATATCTTTCTTCGTATGAAATCTTGGAGTTTATTTGGTCCCTAATTGGATCGGAGTTTATGCCACTTTATTCTAATTTTTTCGTAAGAAATCGCAAAAAAAAAATCTAACTTCTGTTTTATTTTTTGGAAGAATTCGGCTTATATTGATAACATATAATTCAGAGTATGGGTCAAATGACAAAAAGAAATTTGACAGCCGTAGCAATATAATTCGCTGATCCATAACTGATAAACAAAAAGCCAAAAACGGTTACTTTATTCCTCTTACCCCCCATATCCAAAGTCAACGTCTTACAAACAGGGAGATAAACGAAAAAACAAACACCAAAACAAAAGCAACAATTGCTGAAGTAGCAAATAAAACAAAATAAAAAACACTCATGTCGCAGCCAGAAAACTTGAACCATCCCTCTGACTTGCAGCCTCCAACCTTCAACCAGCATCTTCAGCGGACTTAAGAAGCAAAGCCCCCCTCCTCCCCATTTTTTGCCCCATCCATAGCCATGGTGTCCTCCACTTGCCCAGTTGCCCCTTCTCTGTCTGGGTCTCCCAGATCTTCCTCCTCTTACAAACCTCTTCTTTTGGCTCCTCCCCTCCTTGTGTAAAACTTTGGGCTGATTTGGCTCCTCCCCTCATTGACACTTTCTCCTTTTCTGCCATCTTTCTTTCTGATTTGGATGCCCCTAGACCGCCACCCGTTCTGCCAGAGCTCGATGAACTCTCTAAGAGCCCTCCTGTTGGGCTTGTCTTCACCCCGCTACCTGCTTTAAGCTGGGTTCCAAATCTTTTTTCTAAAACTAATCCTTCCTCATAATTTAAGGGACAGAAATTATCTGAATGTCCAATCAAACCACAGATAAAGCAAAAGTTGGGTAATCCTTCATATTTAAAATCTACCCAAAAACTTTTACCATCTTTTTTCAGATTTGTTCCCTTCTTGAGCGATTTATCCATCTTCATAAGAACCCTAACCCTCATATATGGCTCTAATCTATCACTTTTCTGGTTATCATTATATTTAATAAATCCCCCTATGAAATTTCCAACACGTCTGGCAGTGCCTAAATTAACAAGACTGTAGGGGACATTATGAATCTGAACCCAAAATTCAGTCTCATTTAAAATAATTTTGTGTGGAATATCATCAGGCAAAACCTCTTTTAACATTAATAGACTACGCTCAAACTGCCAAGGACCTCCTTCATATCAAGCACATGCTTCATATCAAAACGATGGTTAAACGAAAACATATACCTTTTATCGCCAATTTCTTTCACTGACATACCTTTCCCCGACCTCCAAAGTGTAAGCATCGTTTCTTTGAGATCCGGGAATTTGACTTTGCGGTCAGTCAGTACTTGGCCGATCACTGGGAAACTCGTCGCCGCCGCCTCTATCGAGTCTCTTCAACCTCTCCTTCATCGAGGTTTAGCTCTTCTTCATCATCACCAATCGTCATCTGCTTGTAACGATCAACTAAAATTTCCATCTACCTTCCTAATTCCCCCGCCGATATCCTTTCTACTGCGAGTCGTGATAACAACAACCACCAACACAAAACCGTGCTCTTTGTTTCGTCGTGCCTTCCCTAGCTTCCGAATGGCCCAAATAAATATTCAAGACCACCGCCCTCTCCTCCAATCCTAATCGCGCTGCTGTCCCGACTTCCAACAGCACCGCCCAACTCCACCAATCAATCTCGCCCTTCGATAAACACGAAGGCGGACAAAACAAGGCTAAGGCTTATCGGCCGATAACCCTAGAGAGAGAAAAAAACTTGACAAGACATAAGATTTAAATCCCACAAGTTTGTACTTTTTCACTTCTCTTGAATCTCTTCAAAACGATTTCGCATATACAATCATATTTTCTAAGGCCCTGTTTGGTTGGAGGGTTTCGGAGGGGAGGGGAGGGGAGGGAGGGATTTGTGTGTGTTTGGTTGAAGGAAATCGAAGGGAAAAGGAGGAAAATGGAACACTTCCAAAATCCTCCACTTCCTCCCATTCTAAACCCTCCAAATCGGGGTATTTCGAAGGAAACGTGTCGATAACCACAAATTATCCATCTCCTACGTGAATGGACAAAATGTTATAATACAAAAAAAGTAAAAAAACATAAAGTTTTGAAAAATTAAAAAACCTAAAAATTAAAAAATTTAAAAATTTAAAAATATAAATTTGAAAAGTTAAAAAATAAAAAATTTAAAAAATTAAAAATTTAAGAAATAAAAAAAATAAAAATAAAAACAAAAAATAAAATTATAAATTAAAAAAGTAAAAAATCAAAAAATAAAAAATAAAATAAAATTATGACTCATGACCATAGGAGTAATATTTACGATAGTTAGATATGTATCTATTTTTTAAGTAAGCTATCAAATAAAGGTAAATTGCGAAAATATTTTCATTAAACCTTTCCTCCTACTTCCTCCAACCAAACACAAATTTTTATCAAAATCTTTCCGGCCTTCCTCTTCCCTTCCCTTCCCTCCCCTCCTTGACTCTCCCCTTTTCCCTCCTCCGTTGAACCAAACAAGGCCTAAGTGAATCCACCATTATTTAATTCAAGTTAATATGGGAAAACCTCTTTTGATAAACACTAGCTTGGGATGAATGAAAATGAAGAAAAAGAAAAACACAAAAATCGGCGAAAAGGAATTGAAGATAAAAGAGAGAGTAAAATTGATCGATATGTACTCTTTACACGAAATTGGATAGGGCGGAAGGGATTAGTTAAAAGGAGATGATCGAAAAAAGAAAAATCCTAGAGCAGCAAGTTATTAGAAGTCACTAACCATTTAAGCCCTGTTTGGTTGGAGGTTTTCGGAGGGGAGGGAAGGGAAGTGAGAGATTTGTCATTTGTGTGTGTTTGGTTGAAGGAAATAGGGGGGAAGGGAAGGAAAGTGGAAGACTTCCAAAATCCTCCACTTCCTCCCATTCTAAACCCTCCAAATCGGGATATTTCGGAGCAAAACATGTTGATAACCACAAACTATATCCATTTCCTACATGAATGGACAAAACGTTGTAATATACAAAAGTAAAAAATTAAAAGTTTTGAAAAATTTAAAAATTAAAAAAATAAAAAATAAAACATTTAAAAATTTAAAAAATTAAAAATTAAAAAATGTAAAAATTAAAAAATTTAAAAATTAAATTTTAAAATAAAAAAACTAAAAAAACTAAAAATTAAAAAAAAAAATTATAAAATTAAAAAATTTAAAAATCAAAAAATAAAAAAAATATTACAACTCATGATCATATGAGTAATATTCAACATAATTAGAGATGTATCTATTTTTTTAAGTAAGCTATCAAGTAAAGGTTAATTGGGAAAATATTTTTACTAAACCTTTCCTCCTATTTCCTCCAACCAAACACAAATTTTTATCAAAATCCTTCCTTCCCCTTCCCTCCTTGACTCTCCCCTTCCCTCCCTTCCTTTGAACGAAACAAGACCTTAGGAACTATCAAAAAAGGATGTGGCAAAAAGGGGAAGAAGATGAGAAAGAAACGAAAATAAAACGAGAAGAACAACTAAATAGAGGAGAAAAGAAAGTAAAGAAAAATGATCATGAACGCGTAGGGCCGGAATAAAGTCTTTATAAAGAAGAATTAAGCTGACGAGATTTCATGAAATGGGAAACATTAAAAAAAGTGGGGAAGAAGAAAAATACAAAAAAACTATGGAGAGGAAACTCAAAAAACACATTCGGTTATGCGGAAAAGTGAATACATAAAGATGGAGAATAAATAAAAACAACAAGATGAAAATAAACAAATACGGAGTAAAAAGTGTCCAGAGGATAAAAATAAACACAAAAAAAACTTCAAAATGGAAAAAAGAAAAGTGATACGTAGTATATGAGACGATTTTGAAAAGATCAACAAAAGTTTATATACTTCCTCCGTCCCAAAATAAAAGACAAATATTTCTTTTTGGGTTATCCCAATATAAAAGACACATTTCCTTTTTTGACAAACAAAACAGTGCAAGAAATTAAATAGTACCAAAAAGTGTCAAACAATGTCTAAACTGTGTCAAACAGTGTCCAAACAGGGGGCAAACAGTGTCCAAACAGGGGGCAAACAGTGTCCAAATAGTGAGAAACGTACCGTGTTCCTCCTAAAAATGTTTGAAAATGCAAATGTGCTCTTTATATTGGGAGTTTGGGACAGAGGGAGTATATATTTGATTTAACGGTTTTCAAAGAAAAAAAATTCAGTCACAAATTGGAGAAAGAAAATGAAGTAAATATAAGGTACATTATGTTAGAATTACAATTAGGTGAAACTGTTATTAGAATTGAGAAGATTCGTAAAAAGTGGAATTTTAAATGGTAAATATTTTGTGATTTGGTGACATTAGTGTGACACTCTCCAAAACAAAGCGCTTACACGTTCTAAATTCATCCTGATCAAGAATGTTAGCGTTAAGAAAAACAAATAATATAAATGTGAGAAAGTACAACAAAAAAAAGTGAAATAAGGTTCTATTCTTCTCTTGTTTCTGGAATAAGGTTTAATTTTTCATTAAACACTCATATACAGTTAACACGGCGGAATGCGCATTGTCTGTACGTATACATGTTCCTCGTGAAGTAAGGTTCTATTCTTCTCTTGTTTCGTGACTTTCGTCCCACTAACAAAACTAGCAACACGCCAATATATATCGTATCAAAGAACACGGAGATAGAAATAGCAATCATTAAAAGGAATTAAGGATGATAGTTGGTCAAATGTTGGAACTTAATCGGAAGAAGTCCCTCAGAAGCTAGGCAAAAACATGTACACACGCTCAATAAAAATGTAATTTACAAAATATATTTGCATTAATAATTTAATATCTTTTTGTAAAATTTCAAATAGAAGAAGAGAGTATCAACAAAGTTTTCACGTAAGCAAAGTCTCTACAAGAGATTAGAGCATGTAATTAACAAAAAAACACATGCTTATATATTTAAAAAGGAAATACCGTACCCTGAATAAGACTAAAACCAGCGCCGGTCCTGACTAATTATGGGCCCGGGGCAAAAGACAAAAAATAGGCCCTATAGATGTTAGTGCCGGTGAACGCTTGCAATATATGATCCCCTACAAAAAGCTCGTGATTAAAAAACGAAAATGCAAAATAGCAATTGGCCAATTGTATGAAAAGATTTAAAGATATAAATAAATTTCAACTTTATATCCTTAATTAAAAACCATTTTCTAAGTAATATACTAGATACAAGTAAACCCAGAGAGAAAAGGATGCTAAAATATGAAAAAGACAGAAGCTATCCGCCATTGGCTTAGTACTACAAGTAAACCCATAAAGTAATATACTAAATAATTAAAATTATAAATTAATGTAGTCAATTTACATAATTAGTAAGTGCCTGTGAGCACCGTGCGGCCGTGCTCGTCCTCATATGATGGTTGAATCCTTTGAGAGGTCTAGAGAGGATTAGAGGAAAAGGCAAAAATTAAGAATTTGAGAATTGAGAATTTAAGATTTGAGAGCAGAGAACAACGAAGGCTGACGGTTGAATCAATTAAGCAAAGCGTGTAGTTGATAAGAGACCGAAGAGATTCATATGATTTGTATCAGGGAGGCGGAAAGATTGAGTATCCAACGTTTGGGAACTGAATCCAGAATTGGTTAGGATTGGTATTAATGTTTAGTTTTCGATTTTTGTGAGGGAGTTCGAAAGTCTTCCTCTCGCATGTGGGCCTTGGCTCAATCTAGAACTACGAAATAGATATTGATATCTTACCGTATACGACTATACGGAGTACTATTAATTTAGGAGTAAAGGGTCAGTTTGGTCCTCGAAGTTGCAAAAAAGGCGTCAAATAAGTCCTTATATAAAAGATTCTGTCTGGACGTGCCATTTGAGGTGGCTCCCGGTGGAATTTTGTGATAAATTTTTTTGAGCATCTTATTCATTAAGTCTAGTTTACTCATACCAAATTTCAGCTAAAAATTCAATCGGGAAGACATTCAAATGAATTCTTGAAGATAACAGCGCTTTTAACGGCACAGTTATCTTCAAGAATTCATTTGAATGTCTTCCCGATTGAATTTTAATCTGAAATTTAGTATGAGTAAACTAGACTTAATGAATAAGATGCTAAAAAAATTTCATCAAAAAATTCTACCGGGAGCCACCTCAAATGGCACGTCCGGACAGAATCTTCTATATAAGTACTTATTTGACACCTTTTTTGCAACTTCGAGGACCAAACTGACCCTTATCCCATTAATTTAGATATTTAGTATTATTAATTTATATATATAATAACTACTATAAAATCTATGGGCCCCTTTTTCCTGGTGGGCCCTGGGCAGCAGCCCAGGCTGCCCCTATACCAGGACCGGCCCTGACTAAAACAAAGACAAAAATCATAAACAGGATAATCATTATGTTATTATCAAAATATGACTCAACTAACCCCTCCTATTTTGGAAAACTTTATTCCAAGTTATTCTTTTAATAGAACTAAATAAGTCATATTTGAGGAATACAACATATTTAGTCATATTATTGAATTTTATTTGTAGTCCTATAATGAGCAAATTCTACAATTTAAACAGTGAGGGTATGAAATTAGTATGTAACTATGTATTATAAAAATTCCTTAATATAAAACTAAAACATACACAAAATTCAAGAATAGAAGTAATTAAGTGATTAAGTTTTTTAGAGAATAAAACATACTTAGTCCTATATATGCTTGTGTTTGCTCGAAGAATTATGTATACTCCTTAATTTCAATTTTCGATCTTTTCTTTGAAACACATAGAGCTCATTTGGTAATCTCATGTGTTTCGGCTTATTAGCCTTATTAGTCATTTTTTTCACCAAACACGTAACTTTTGAGCCTTTTTAGTGACTCTGTTGTTTGGCTTATCGGGTTTATCATCCAAAATTTTAACAAAACAAGTAAGTTTTGATTTCACGGTCTAAATTTTGTAATAATTAGAAAAAGTAAGGTTGAAGTTACTTTTGTGACTGTTTTGGCTGAAATTACGGTAGATGATAATTTTAACTATTTTTCATACGGAGTATAATTTTTCTTTTATTGTATTAATAAAATATATTTTAAATATAATTTTTTCATAAATCAGCTGAATCAGCCAATCCAGTCATTTCAACCCGAACTTCATAAATTTAAGCACAATCAGCTGATTTAGCCAATTTCAATGTTACCAAGCGGGCTCATAATTAATCTTAATCAAGTTTCCGGATGTACTAGCTGTCTAGCTCTGTCCTGAAAATGTTTGTCATATTGAATTTACTTGATTGAAAATATTTGTATTAAAAAATATCATAAGTCAAAATTGATTTTGTTTGCCAAAGAAAAGTCAATTAACAACTATTGTTAGGACAGATTTTGTTCAGTGGAGGGGTCTAATACTTGCATATAGTAGCTGTAATTAATTAATTTGCGCAACATGCACTGCTTTACAGCACGCAACGCTGTAGCGCGCTTATCTAATTACGGAGTAATAATTAGCTTGCGACGTAATTACATAGATTCTATTCCATTCCATTGCATCTCCACCATCAATCAAAATCAACGGCGTTGTATAATCCAATCCCTACAAGTATAGATTCTCCGCCCTTGGATCGCCTAGCTGCCACTATAAGTAGTACCCAATCCCCCACCCCTCTTGGCCTTAAGCATCTATCAGAAAGATCAATCGACATCTTCGAGATATCAACAGAGACATATTATCGCAACATCGGAATGGGAAAGAAGTCTGGGTTTTGTTGCTTTGGGCTGCTGAAATGGAAGAGGAAGAAGAAGGTAACAAGTCAAAGGGAGGAGGTGATGGGAAAGAGTAAGGCGAACAGGGTCCGGGCGAGGGAGGAAGATGACGATTACTATTACGACTGGATGGCAGACCCGGATATTGATAACAAAGCCGCTGAGTTCATCAATGCCAAGCGACAGCTCTATCGGAGCACTGCCGCCGCCACCGCCACCGCCACCGCCGACGAAGCTGCTGATCATACTGCGGACGCCACCCACCTCTCCAATTAACAGACTTCATTATATTCTATCTATGTATATGTTGTACTCACACAGTAGTCACACCTACATACATACGCTAGCTATTTTTGACGGGAAAAGTCAAAAATGATAAACTTTGACCCGCTATTTTAATTAATATATTTATGTGAAACTAAATAAATTTATACTTATATAATAGTATTTTTAACAAAGAACATTTTTATATGATTTTCATATTATCAATATTATCGTGTATAAATATATAATCGATCAAAGTTTAACATTATTGACTTAAAAACTTGTGTGGCTAAATAAAAAGGGGAATATATATCTATTATGCGGTGTAATCGAGGTTTTTTGTCGGCCGGCGGCGTGGGCTCTCCACAGGTGGCTTTGTCACGGAGTTTTACCGGTCTGTGGTTAGCGATAAGCAGGCGAGGCCTTGGCTGCGTCAAGTAGCGGCCGGCAATGCGAGGAGGATCCCAACGAAGCGGTAACAGTTTCGTCGTTGGCGTCTTCATGATTCATGTTAATGGTGTTCAACAGTTTCGGAGATAGCAGCGGCCCTGCATCAACTAGGGTTGCGAGGCCTATGTTTCCGATACTTGGTTTGGCTATTTTGGCTTAGGTGGTGATTGAGATGGATCCGGAAGCTGTACCAGCTGTGTTTGATTCGGATGAAACGTACCCTAGCGGTTTGGGGCCCGGTGAAAGGGGCGAATTCGGGCTCCATTCGGTTGTTTGGGGGATCAGTGTAGTTGTTTGGGTCGAAGATTTTCTTACAAGGGACTGACTGCTTATGTGGTATGGGAAATTCTAGATTCAGGTGATGGAGGAGGAAGATGGAATGAGGATGATCCGCCCCCTCCTGAACCGCCGCCTTGGATCGGAGGAAATGTGTGTCTAGGTTTTGGAAGAAGACACTTGAAGTTTGGATTCAACTGTTCCATCAATTGATGTTTAATTACTCTTCCTATTTTCTTTTTTCTAATTTTTTTTTTATTATGTCAAAAAATAAGGGTGATAGTTTCGTAGTTTGGTTTATTTTAGTTGCTAGATTTCTGTAGGGAGGCAATCTGGCTGACTCAGCTGCTAATAGCCTCAACGCTTTCATATGTTCAGTGATTCGCCTCGCTCCTTTTGGGGTAGACTACTCTATGTCTGATCAGGGAATGAGGGTGCCGTTGGGCTTATGGTTATTGTTGGTTAGAGGGAGGTTAGTGTCGGATGGTTATTATATTGAGTGTCATTCTTCTGATTGTATTGTCTTTCAGTTACACACTCAGAGTTTGATTTAATATAATATGTTAGTTTTCCTTCAAAAAAAACTTTTATGTAGTGTCTATATATATATATATATATATATATATATATATATATATATATATATATATATACACACACACTTAAGGAAACAATTTTTTTAATGATTTGAGAAAAAAAGTACAATGCGAACAATGTAGAAATAAAAGAAAAAAAGGAAAAGGACAAAAGAAGTAAAGAAAAGGAAACAATGCAGTATATATATTAATGTATTCAGTGAACCGCGGAAGGACCTAGCGATTTTGCTAGGGTTTTAGTTTGTGAGCGCAGCACGCTTGCGCCGACTTCCAAGGCAGCGGCTTTGTCCTGCTAGTTCGCGGCAGGCAACTCCGACCAGCAGCTCTCAATGGAATGGAAGAGACGACGTCGTCAACTCAGACCGTCGCTCAGCAGATTGTGAGGTCCGAAAATCAGTTGGTCAAGATGGCAGAGACGTACAACGAGTAAGAGATCAATGCTCTGGCGTAGGCGTATGGACAAATGGAGATGGAAGAGGGGGATGAATTTTTGGTTGTGGAAGCTAAGGCGCAGAGCACTTCTCATGACAACCTTGCCCCTGTAGGAATGATTACGTTAGAAAAATCGGTACATTTCAATAGCTTTCGGGATATTATGGCAACTGTTTGGAAACCTGCGAAGGGCGTCACCATAACGGAGATAGGACCTAGAAGTTATATGTTTCAATTTTATGATGAGGATGATATAACAGGGTAGCTAATGAGGGTCCATGGATTTTTTATCAAAATTTAATTTTCACGAGTAAATTGAAAGACAGAGATATTTTGGTAGGTTACTTTACCATAACTAATGCTGAGCGAATTGGGAAGTTTTAGGACATTTCATAAAAATGGATGAGCAAAATTTTTCGGTAGAATGGAATCCTTTTATAAGAATTTGTGTCAGTCTTGATAAGGGAAAATCATTAAATGGAAACTGTTTTGGCAAAAGGAAGAGGGAATCAATGATTTTGTCAAGTTTTGATATGAGAAATTGTCAAGTTTTTGTTTTCTATGTGGGATAATAGGACATGCAGAGAGCCATTGTCCTCGTAAAAGGGTAGGAAGTGAGAAATCCGGAGAGAGGCCATTCGGTCCGTGGATTTGGTAGCAAAGGCGGGAATGGATCTGAGGGAGAACAAATGGCTCATTCCAGTGGGCAAAGGGCACAATAAGAACGGCTAGGCCGGCCTCGGTGGCATCGCTAACGACAAGCAGGTGGGCACTTTGGAGGGCGGGACTCTAGGAAATGAGGTGGGAAGCTTGAACAGAAGTGCATGCGTGCGGAGGAATCAGGAGGTCACTCTTACATCGAGGAAATGGAGGTAGAGCATGCCCGAGCAAAACATGGGAAGGAGGCGAGTTACAACTTTGTGCCTCGCCAAACACAGATCTGAACTCCATCAAAACACAGCGCGAGGGGAGTGAAAAAGCGGGAGGCCTTAAAGCGATTTATTTATATTGCGTTTATAAGGAATATAAATGAGCATGGACTTCATCAACCGAGATAATCATATTCAATGTATGAGTGTGTGTATGCATGAGTGTGTGTATGTATGAATGTAACACGTCCTCACAAACCAAAAAGAGCCTTTACCGCACATATTATCCTCACTCTTGCGCCTCCCCGAGAAACTACTCAGGGGATCACCCATCCTAAGACTAATCTCGTACAAGCACGCTTAATTACGAAGTTCTTAGTAGATGATTGAGAACCCTAAGAATTTTTCGAAGGGGTCGCCATCCTAAGACTGCTCTCTTGCAGACACGCTCAATTACGGAGTTCTTAGTAGATGAGCTCCTTAAAAGAAGGTGCTCCTTTGTTGTTGCTATGAGTAGTATGTACTATTAATTGTTTTAAGCTAATTTCGGGTGTTACAATCGGCCCACTTAGGAATGCAACGTCGTCGTTAAACGTGCAAGCTAAGCTAATATCAATGAAGCCCTAAATCTTTGTTCTCACTCATGCGCACCCCTGAGAAAAATTTCAGGGAGTCACCCCTTGATTTGAGTTTTCTCGCACTAATAAAAAGATGTAGTAGTAAAAGGTTTTAGTACGAGTATCGTCTCCACAGCGACGGGAAAAGGGAATGACGTGCACTTTGTCGTGAGTGCACTCAAAATAAATTCAATACTAACACTTATACGTAGTATAGCGTAGTAGAGTTCGTATCCACAGGGAAAGGAATAATTTTCTTTTTATATGACTAGTAAATAAAAAGGGGGGTTTTTGGGATTAAATGATTTAACTTAATTAAACATAAAGATGAACAACTTAATTTAAAGATAAAAAGGACTTGGCATTGCTACTTTCCACTTGTTGATATATTTTAGTCGATCATTGTTATATCTATAACTTATCCCCTCTCGAATACTCAATCGAGGAGTATATCCAATTCATCGAGGGTAGTTATTAACAACGACCGTTCATTAATAACCCTTACTATTAGTCATGTATAGAACACCGCCATATACCGACTTTATAGTAGCATTTAATCTCTTAAATCCTTGATGAAATCAATTGAGATTGATAACCTCAACACAACGGTTTCGGTTTAACCAACAAAATTAATCCCTCTTAAGTTTATTAACCACGACCGTGCATTAATAAACCGAAGTTACTTACTTGTGAAACCATCAACGATTAACCATCGGTTCGTTGAACGTTTCTAGTAGTAATTAATGTTGAGATGTTAACTAATTGTCATCTTAGCAACACTCCCCAACATTAACATAGAGATAGATTAAGGGAAGAATTAATATTCAAGGAAGAAGATTAAATATGAATAATCCTACTATAACTAATGTCAAGATGTTATCTAATTGTCATCTTAGTAACACTCCCCAACATTAATATATAGAGGAAGAAAATAAATACTACTATAACTAATGTTGAGATGTTAACTAATTGTCATCTTAGCAACACTCCCCAACATTAATATATAGATAGATTAAGAGAATAATTAATATTCAAGGGAAGAAGTTAAGAAAATAACTCACAACTTTAATAATCAACAAGCTTCAAGAGCAACACCAAGAAATGGAAGTTTAGCTCCTCATTTGGAGACTAAACATGCTAAAAAAATATAAAAGAAATACTATTCTAAACTGAGCTTAAGAGTATGGAAGAAGGAGTGATTAAAAGTGAAGGAAAATGGGGCTATTTATAGGTGTTTTTCAACACCTTTGGACGGGTACCCGACCGGGTAAAGTGTCCACCCGACCGGGTGCATGTCAAAATCAAATATCCTCCACGTTCTGGCGATCTTCGGCACGTTCTGGTGTTCCGGGTCAAGTCGGACCCGACCGGGTGAAATACCTCACCCGACCGGGTGATGTAATTTCCTGAGCAGTTTCGCATTTAAATTTCTCACCCGACCGGGTGCAATACCTCACCCGACCGGGTGATTGTCCTGGGCAGCCAAGAATTATTTTTCTTCACATTCAAAGTCTTCCTTTCCAACACCATAAATCCTAACTCTACTTTACAACTTACAAATGAGAACTAAAATACAATTACAACTAAAATCACACAAATGTTTATAAACTAAATAAAACGATAAACAATACACACAAATCAAACATAAAAACATACACTTATGCACTACTAATTAGTGCATATCAGGGAATCAGGAATTAAATAACACATGTGCAAAAACGCCATTTAGAGGCGCTTTATCAGGTGAAGTGCCTCTGAAATGTTATTAAATTACGCATTTGTATTAAAAATTCAGCTTGATTCTCAGTTTTATAATATGTAAAACTAATTCATACAATCAAACATATCCAATAAAAATAGTATCATATCATGTATCAAGCGCATAA